GGAGTTGATACCCATCAACGCTAATTCATTAGAGCGATCAAGAACGCAACTACGTTTCCTAGTGGGTCCCGCCTCGTCCAAACCACCAAGGTAGCGGGCTCCGTTTCGTTCGACGTCCGAGGACTAGCTTCGCCTTGCTCGACGTCTGAGGACAAATTTCGTCTTGCCCGACCCCCGAGGGCTGGCTCTGCCTTGCCTGACGTCTAAGGGCTGGCTCCACCTCGCCCGACGTTTGAGGGCTGGCTCTGCCTCGCCCGACGACCGAGGGCAGGCTCCACCTCACCCGATGTTTGGGGACTGGCTCGGCCTCGCCCAACGTCTAAGGGCTGGCTCCGCCTCGCTCGATGTCTGAGGACAAACTCCGTCTCGTCCGACGACTGAGGGCTGGCTCCACCTTGTCCGACGTCGGAGGGCTAGCTCCGCCTCGCCCGATGTCTGAGGGCTGGCTCCGCCTCGCCCGACATTTGAGGGCAAACTCCGTCTCGCCCAACGTCTGAGGGCTGGCTTCGCCTCGCCCGATGTCCGAGGGCTGGCTCCGCCTCGCCCGACGTCTATGCGCTGCTCCTTCATAACTACGCGCGCATATAAGGCAGGGCACTGAAGTCAACGGCAATACCGAGGACTATACCCTGCACGCCTGCAGGAAAGTACCGTCAAGATATGACAAGACAGGCACTTTAAGCCCTTCCACGCATGTCAGAGCTTGAACAATGTTGTAGGCGCCGACATTTGTCTTACAGTGTTGTGGGCGCCGCCATTTGCCCTCGGACGTGGATCCTGACGGAAGCTCACGACAACCACTACGGTCTAAGAGGAAACTCGCATCACCTACAGTAACGGACGTGCGGTCTCTGCACTGTCTGCTCCCTGTATGGCCGCGGATTAGTACCCGGGTCCGCCGCGCCGCCCGCCGGGGCGGGATGAGACGTGACAACTTGCTGACCATGCCAGGACATGACAGGATCAGCGGACGTGCTCCCAGCGTGGGGCTATCCCTGGCACCGCCTGCCATGTCAGCGGGGCTCGCATAGAGGAAAAGGAATACCCGGTATCTTTGAAGGACCTTCTTTTGTCTCTGGTTTTTCTTCTTTCTCTCATCTGTAATCCCTGCTCTCCCTTAGCTTATAAAAGGGATGGCAGGGCACCCCACTAAGGGACTGATTTATTCAAGGCACCACGCATCACATCACACATGGCTGAGCAGCGACCAAGCTCTCAGCACCTATTCGACCTTTCCATCAGAGACTTGTGATCTTTTCCTCTCTCGCCCGTTTGTAACCCCTACTACGAACTTTTCAGCGCTAATAACACGAGCAGCAGCCACGAACTGGACGTAGGGACATTCTGTCCGAACCAGTATAAACCTTGTGTCTTTTAACACATCATCCGGGTCAGACGCACAATAACATAAATTTACTCGTTGGTGTTTACTCAAAACACCGACAGGAGGTGTCGGGCACGAGAGAGAGTGGGAGAGAAAGGAAGAGAGGAAAAGGAAAAAAGGAAGAGAGAAAGTAAATGGACCCACCTGTAAGGCCGGCTCGGCGCCAAGATCCACGGCGTCGAGCTGGCTACCATGTCACCCCAGCTCTATTTTGATGCCGACGTGGCCCCCGACCTAGGCGCCAAACCCTTTGGCGCCGAGACGTGTAATTTCGGTGCCATCAACGATGACGCCGAGCTTCAGGTACAGATTTTAAAAACATACATCCAATGATATATTTATGAAAAACTTTAAAAAAAGGCCAAAAAAAAATTTCGCTCCAAGTTGCGCTGCCTTTTGTCCTTGTGTTGGACTGGTGAACGGCCATGACCCATGACCATGAGCCATGAATGATTAACCCTCCATCGCGTCATCAGCCTTAGAAAATGAAATGATGGCGCTTGTGCCATGACCACTCAGCGATTCCCATCCGCTAATTGCATGCGTGGTTCATTATTTGTGTTCCTTCCGTGCCCTGGAGGGTAAAGGATTTGCATTATTGTTGTCATCATAACCACACATGATCAGTGGCTACTGGCTCGTCACCCGGTTACTTTTTGATGCAAATCGTAATATGCCCGTTGAATTTACAAATGATGATCAGTGGCTACGGCCTCCGTTCTAAATCAGGAAATTGTGAGGATTACTCCTTAAGTACATGTGGATCGGGCGAGCTTACGACTCACCACCGCAATTTCTCTGCTTGCGTATCCATCCACGCACACGCGGCTGCTTGTTGTTTCAATGCCTCTTTATTTTGCTGTTGACGTGAATAGAAATACTACGCGGCGTTTATGCTAGATAGAGCCAAGTCTCATGTTGACTCCATTTCTTTTCAGTTTAATTAAGCCTGCAAGTAACTACGTACAGTAAGAAAAAAATGGTCTTTGCCTTCTGCTGCTTCCGTGAAAGCTGCAACTTCTGCTGGAAAGTAGCCCGTTTTCCCAAATCTTTTGTTTTTCAGTCTTTTTTTTAAAGATTTTCACAAATACATCTCTGGCAGTGCTCTTTCAAAAAATAGGTCATGACCTCGGCGCCGTGACAATTGGCGTCGAGCTTAAGGGTTATTTTCTTCGTGTCGTTAACGTGGCTGCTTGGGTGGCACGGACGTGGCATGAGCTCGGCACCATGGATCTGGGCGCCGAGCTCGGCGCCAATTACTATGGCGCCGAGCTATCGAAATTGATAACTTTTAATTTTTACAATGACTTGGATATTGAGAAATGTGGCTAACTCTAGATTTTTTACAGTAACTTATTGTTTGATCACTTAAAATAGTATAGAAATACTTAAGATAAAAAATGATCTAGGGTTTATGTTCATGAACTAGCCTAAAAATGCTTCTAAGTGTTGGATCAATAGTTAACTCATTTTTTCATGATGCTGTTTTGACCAGGGTAAAACTATAGTTTCTTTTCTAGATATGAAGTTTGACCTTTAATAGAAGTTATAGTTTGAGTTGAGTACAACAAACTTTGCTATTGGAGTAAACCTAAATCAGTCTTTAACATGGCCGAATTGTGACGTTGTTTTGGCCTCTCTAAATCTTTCTAATTCCCTTATCGTCGGTAGTGAATTGACATGTTTGCGACATTTTATCTTCCAAATTTGTATAGCAACTCAATTTGATACCGTACTACGAGTTTGAATACTCTCTGAGGAGATGACAACAAAACAAGTTTCATCAAGTTTGACTTAGCCACGGTAAAAAATCAGACTTAGCCACGGTCATAAATTCTAGATTTAGCTATATTTTCACGTGCTTACAGGTCATGACGTGCTTTACAGGTGAGGTGTGTTGCGTCCGTGCTTGCATGCCTACACATACATGTACGGTTCGTTGCATGCACCAATGTATCTCTGGTTAGCAATGCAATAGATGCATAGAGCCGAGCCCTGCATCATCCCGCTGTACTGCAGGAGCCGAGCTCTGTACTGTGTCGCCCGGACGTGCTGTAGTTTCATTTGGTTAGGCAAATTTTTTATCTTAAGTATTTCTAGATTGTTTTAAGTGATTAAACAGTAAGTCACTGTAAAACTCTAGTGTTAGCCACATTTTTCAATATCCAACCTGGACAACATCCATGAGTTCTTTTCTGCCATCTCGTGTCTCAACCATCTGGAGTCCTTGTCAGTGTGACTCGATAAGAGCATGGATGGTGTGTTTCCTTCTCTGGATGACACAATTGCTCGGCCGCCTAAGACCCTTAGTTATTGCTTTAAACTGCATGGGCATATACGCATACTAGCATCATGCAGCTGGATCAAGGAGTTTGTAAACGTCCAAAACTTGGACCTTGAGGTAACCTTACAGGAACACCATGACATGCAGGTCATCCTAGATCATCTAGTACATCGTATCAATGGGCCCATGAAACGTCTAGGTATCAAACCAGTTCAAGATGATGCGCTCCGTATAGGCATTAATGATGAGCAGAAATTCGCTGAGTTATGACTTGAGATCCTCGAAATTGTTTGCACCACAAACTTATAGGCAACTATTGGAAATATACAAATTTGGAAGATAAAATGTTGCAAACATGTCAATTCACTACCGGCGATAAGGGAATTAGAAAGATTTAGAGGGGCTAAAACATCATCACAATTCGGCCATGTTAAAGACTGATTTAGGTTTAGATCCAAAAGCAAAGTTTGTTGTACTCAACTCAAACTACAACTTCTATTAAAGGTCAAACTTCGTATCTAGAAAAGAAACTATAGTTTTACCCTGATCAAAACAGCATCATGAAAAAAGGAGTTAACTATTGATCAAATACTTAGAAGCATTTTTAGGCTAGTTCATGAACATAAATCATAGATCATTTTTTATCTTAAGTATTTCTAGACTGTTTTAAGTGAACAAACAACAGGTCACTGTAAAAAAATCTAGAGTTAGCCATATTCCTCAATATCCAAGTCATGATAAAAATTAAAATTTATCAATTACCATAGATCGGCGCTGTAGTAATTGACGCCGAGCTCGACGCCAAGATCCACGGCGTCGAGCTCATGCCACGTCCGCGCCACACAAACAGCCACGTCAATGACCCTGGACCTCGGCGTCAAAAATGTGTAAGCTCGGCGTCAATTGTCATAGTGCTGAGGTCAGGATCTTTTTTTTTTTTTGAAAGAACACTGTCATGAACATATCTGTGAAAATCTTAAAAAAAAAAAGCTGAAAAACAAAAAAAAATTCGGCCCGTTTTCCGAGTCCTCGGTCCTTTACTACGGAGTAGCAGAAAAACAAAAGGAAGGAAAACTCGTCATTATCCAACAAATCAACAAGACCTGAGCCCAACATGCCTGCCCGTCTTCCCCGACCCAACCTAATAATACGAGGCCCATCTAAGCCCACCACCGGCCCCACACGTCATGCCACTGCCAATAGGGCCCCACACCCCAGTCCCCACCTCCTCGTTTCCCGCCCGCTCGCCGCCTCCTCTTCTCCTTCTTCTTCCCTCTCCCTCCCCTCCCAAAATTCCCAAACCCCAAACCCCGCAATCCCTAGGCCCTAGCCATGGAGGCATCGGCGCCCGGCCCGCCGCGTTTCACCGTCGCCGACCTCCTCCAGCTCCGCCGCCCCACCGCCGGCGCCTCCTCCCTCCTTTGCCCCTCCGTCCCCACCTCCAGCTCCACCTCCCGGCCCCGTAAAAAGCACAAGCTCTCCGCCCCAGCCCCAACCTGGAGCACCGGCACGGTCCCGTTCGCGCCGATATCCCACCCTGTGCTCCTCTCCGGCACGCTCTCCCTCCCCTCCGCGACCTCCCCGGCCTCCTGCCGCAGCAACTGCTTCTCCTTCTCCGACCCATCCCCCACCGCTGCCTCCACCCCGGCCACCGCGGCCGCCTCCGTCTGCTGCTGCATCCTCGACTTCGATCCCGCTGCGCTGGGACGCGAGATCCTCGTCCTCGCGTGGAACTACCTACCCTCAGTGCGCCTCCACGCCGCCCCGGGCGTGCTCGAAGTTGTCCGCTGGCGCCTCGCGGAGGAGGAGGAGTCCGCTCCTCCCGCGAAACGTGGCTTCCTGGCGACGGTCCCGTTCCATTTCCCCGATCAAGAGCCCGACTTGGCCACCCGCGGCTTAGCATTTGGTCTGGTCAGGTCCGTCAGCGTGGTGTTCAGTATGCCTCTCGCCAAGACTGATGCAGGAGCAGGAAGCAGAAATCCAGTCGGGTTTCTGGCAGAGATTTTGTGTTGCGGGTGTCGCCGCTGCTACAGGGCGACACCGCCGGAAGATGCCCCGAGTCACAAGTTTGAGACGATGAAATTTGTCTACTTTGTGGATGCGTCGAGCATGTGGCGGCCGGTTCTAGTGTGGCTTGTGGGGAGGCTGGTGTACATTTCCGGGTTAAAGAAAAAAATTGTTTCTGTTGGGGACAAAGCCTCACACACAATGTTGGTGTCATCTGCAAAGACAGCCATAGCATGGTGCCCATCCTATAGGGGCAGTCTGCCATTGTATAGCTTCCCTGAGAAGTGCGGTGGGGAATATGCTGGGGTTATCACTGGAATTTATTCGCAGGGTCTGGTGGTCGAGCTGGATAACACTGCATGGCTGCTGATTGATGATCAGCAGCTTCCACCACCACATTCCCTTCGAGTTGGTGCCATTGTATGTTGCAAATTGTCACCTTCACTTTCAAATTTTCAGTCTTACATTTTTCCATCTTAAGGTGCCACTTACCTATTCTACTTCTTTGTAGGTCTCTGTAAAGAACTTTCGAGCAACGTGTCTGAATTTTGCTTGGACACGGATTGTTCTGCTTGCAACATGCTGTAAAACCTGCATTACTGTAAATTATTTCTCCTCGGTGGACTCCAAGTAAGACAGGAACTATATTACCATGTCACTACACACTACTCCCTCTGTCCATCAATGTAGGATATATTTTGATGCAGTCTTCAAAAGGAGGCTACCACCTTTAACTTTTTTCAATAGATTATCAGTTGCTACAAAATAAACATAATAATAAAAAGCATTTTGAAATACAAATATACTGATACAACTTTTATAGACGAAACATGCATATAATTTAACTAATTGTTTTGTAAGTTGGGGACACTAGATTGATTATTGAAGGACAAGAACATGTACATATATAGGTGAGGATAGGGGCGGCTTATGGAAACACAACCGACCTCCAGTATCCTTGCCTAATACAACCCAATCTACTAGAGACCCAGACTTGGAGTCCAAATACAACTCCACAGCCCTGGCCAGCCTCTATACAGAGATCAGGATGGCTGTACATGAGCCCATATGGCTGAAGCTAATAAGGCCTAAGGCCCATGCCCTGTCTAACATGTTTGTCAAACCTTACAAAGTTTGATTTATCTGATTCAAAACACACCTTTTACAAACTGGACAGAGGGAGTATTACAGATATCATCCAACAGCTTCTACTCTTGGTGCAGAATTCATTTGAAGACAGAGAACAAGGGCCTCTTGGGAACATTTGTTGACTCATTGGAGATGCCTGCTCGATTTTGGTTTGAACTTTTTATGGTTTAGCACTTTAGCTTCTATGAAATATACTTACCATGATAAATGATTGACAAAATAAACAATTTTCTGTCACAAGGTATGCTCATTGTTTTCTCCATTTCTATTTCAGGATGTTACTCCTGATATCATGCTTTAAACAGAAGTTCACTAAATTATTTTCTGATAAAGAAATTTTGGGCTCACAAAATGTATGTTTTTAGTTTATATTTCATCATTGGAACTGTTTATAGACTGTTTAATTATTTACTGTCACTCCACTGTAACTGCAGCTAATTTACTGAATTAAAACTCTTGTATTGTAAGGTACCAACAGAAGCAAGGAGTGGTTCATGCCTATGCTACTAAAATTCTCCCGTCAAAGTGCCAACCCAAGGCAAGTTTATTAGTAGTATATCTACTCCCTCCATATTCTTTTATAAGGTGCGCGCACATATCAAGATTCAAACTTTAAATCTTTGACCAATAATTTGGCCAACAATTTTTAACTATTATAATACAATATAATATAAAATAAATAAATGGTTAAAGTGTAATTTAGGAGAACCGAGAACGTGTCATACCAAGTGTCATACCAAGTTGTGCCTTATAAAAGAAAATGGAGGTAGTGACGTAGTGTATCATCGAATGTATGCAATGCATATGATTTCTGCTAAAAATATTGGACGTGATTAACAATGGGTTTGGTTCACTGCCAAAAGGAAGTTATCCTTGCTTTTGGATTGCCCTTAATTGCCAATATATGCTTGTTTACTTGTTACTTTTGATATTTTTACTCCCCCCACAAAAGACTGATATGAGGCACTAGAATTCTGAATATCTTGTGGCACACCTCAGGGACAGGGTTCTTTATGAAAGTTACTTATATCAAAAAAAATCTTTAGTTGGTATAATTTTTTGTTTACTCGAACTGGCAGGGGAGCAAGGTATGTTTTTGAGCGAGGCATGTCCATGGACAAAATTTTTTTTGCTGGAAGTTAAAGTACTGCATGTAGACACTTACAATTTCTGTTTATAGTTTTCCCAACTTTACCAACAGTGTTTAATGTTAGTTGTGCTTGTTGTATTAGCCCTTTCTAATGTTCTTGTCCCACCTCTTTTGCTTGTGAATTAATTAGCTTGAACTTGGTTGTTCAGGAAAGTTTAATAATGAAATTCTGTAGACATAATTGTGGTAGCTTACGCCTTGGATCTAAATTGGAGGGTTGCAAATTGGTACTGGTATCTTACTATCTTCTTTAATTGTTTACTTGAAACTAGTTTGGTTTATCCTCATTACTAATTAAGTATTGACTTCACTAGGCCATACCATTCTCTAATCTAGTCTTCAAGGGTGAATCATTGTGGATATCATCGATGCTTAAATTATGGAATGGTTCTGAAGAAGTGGGCAAGAGCCAGGGTTTCTTATGCGATGGTTTTTCCTATACCAGCAGTACCAAAAGATTAATTTCGAGTGAAGATCTGGATTTTGTTTTAGTGGGAAGCATCAAGGTTATTTGTAATTCTTGCGTTATCTACCTCAAAGTAATGATATTTATTTTAATTTTTTTTATCAAGTCATAAGATACTAGAATTGTGCTACCTCGAATATTTTGTAAGATTTTTGAACCGAGTTTTCCTTTCACTAATTTTTTAATAGCTGGAATATTGATCTTTGGTACTAAAATTTGTTTTTGTTGTTTATTTCTGAATTTTCTGATGGGTCATTTACCTTGGAACTCAACATGTATAGCCCTAGTTCATCTATTATTGTATCCAGAGCTGTATTTTTGCAGGTTTAGTATTGAATATAGTTTGCATGTAGACAGTTCAAGTAAATAGATTAGGCCAATTAATGTGACAATTTTGAAGGCATAGAGTTTGGCAACTGTTAAACATTTTAGTAGTACATGGAGGTTTTTGGAAATAGTTCATTTGCATGTGATTGTGCAGACTAGTGAATGAATTTGCTGCGTAGCCGCATAGGTGATTTTACTTCATGACCTAATTCTTAAGACTCAGTATTAGGATACATTTTGAAATGCCTGTGTCCTTTCTGCATACAGACTTCTCCACTGTCAGGGAGACTGCAGTTGGTTGATTCCACTGGATGTATAGATATTTTTATACCTGATCTTCCACCGAATGAGAGCTTGTATGGCATCTATGAGGTAATAACCATAGTTTACTATGAAATATTTCTACTTGAATACGTATGCAATAGCCTACCCCAATTTGCTTGGGACTAGAAGGCTATGTTGTGAATATGTAATGCATCTTATTATTGTAATTTTGTTACTCGATTGCGTGGCCTGCCTTGTTGTAAAGTTTATGATTTTCACTTAATCACTTTGACATCAGAATAAAGACCTTTGAATGGTTGTTTAAGAAATCCGGCAGAGGTGGATGTTGTATCACCCTAAATCTATGATCAACTAGCACTATGAGGTTGGGTATAATCCAGCTGGTGCCATAGTGGTGGCAGTGCAAACGGATAATCCAGTAGCAGCTGTTTTGTCTCCTCGGCAGACACAGAAGAGGTAGCTCCTCCAGGGCTTACTCCCTTGCTGCACAATCTTGTGCGGAGTGCGGACGGAATTCTGTTCTGTAGAAATGCGTTGAGATATATAATGGTTCTACGGGCATTACCAGCTACTAACTCCATATGTTGGATTGCAACATACTTATCCTAATACAAGGGTTTTTAAAGCAACGTAATGACGCAATGTACAGAACAATGGTGTGTCGCTGTTACAGTTCTGACAGTGCCTGACTTATATGCTTTTGTTAGCTTCATGTAGTACTAGTAGAGATTGCCAGCTCTCAATTTACTAGGGAAGTTTCAAGTTCCCAATAAGGATGGTCCATCAAGAGTAGATGATCTCAGGCCCATCTCCCTTCTCAGTTGTTCAATTATTCTCATCAAAAAAAATTTGGCAAACAGATTGCAGAAGCTGACCATGATCCTTATACATAAAAACCAATATGGGTTCACTACAAGGACAATTCAAGATCGCCTCATTGGTCCTTCGAGTATTTACACTTATGCCACCAATCTGAAAAACCTGACCTGCTGGGGGAAGACCACCCCCGCAGCATTGCATTAAGAAGCAGCTTCTTGCATGCAGGCTGATCAACACCCCTACGGCCGGCTGCCCTGAATGTGCCACAAAACGCCCAGGACACATGGCCGGGGCACAACTGAAGAAGGGTGTTTTTTTAACCCGGTCCTATTTAAATTCTCTCCCACAGGCGAGGTGTTACTAAGGCTCTTGTGACCACTAGGCTACAGACCTGTTCGCTACCAATCCGAAAAACGCTACCAATCCGAAAAAGAATTGGTTATCCTGAAGGTAGACTTTGAAAAAGCTTTTGACAATATTGAACATGAAGCTATTATGGGAATAATGAGGTATCAGGGATTAGGGGATTTTTGCCGCTCCTGGATGTCAGCAATTTTCAACTCAGGAACTTCTACAATGCTATCAAATAGTGTAGCCGGAAAAACTTTCCATTGCTAGGTGTGAGGCAAGGATACCCACTCTCTCCCCTCTTATTTGTGTAAGCTACTGACTTGCTCCAAACCATCCTGAATAAAGCAAAGAATCAAGGGTTCTTAAATCTCTCAATTCCAGTCTACTCAAATGCAGATTTTCCCATGATTCGGTATGCTGATGATACACTTATAATCCTTGAAGGGTGTAGTATAGTTGACACCTTTTTATCTTGGAAGCCTTGCTCAACACCTTTTGCTGATTCTTCAGGATCCAAAGTAAATTACTCAAAGTCAAGTAATGCTTCCAATAAATGTGGAGGCTGCCAAATTTGATATCCTTGCAAAAAACTTCTGCTTGCTCCAAAGGCACTATACTTTTCACATATTTGGGACTTCCTTTGGGAATTACAAAGCCAAAAATTGAAGATTTCTTGCAATTGGTCACTCGATGTGAGAGAAGACTTACAATTCATCCATCTATCTTTAACAGGCAGGTTGGCTGCAGTTAACTAACTCAAGTCTTTGCCTCATTCCCAACCTTCTTCGTGTGCACATTCAGAACGTACTCTACAGCGATGGAACGTGCGGATAAGTTTAGGAAGCATTACTTATGGAGGGGCGGCCGGGTGGGGGTGGAGTGGGGGGGATGTAAATGCTAAAAATCCACCAAAAGCTACTTGATTCATGGTTTGCAAGCCCAGGGGTGAAGGTGGTTAAGTGGTTATAAACTTGAGGACACAAAATGATGCTTTGTTGATGAAAAAGTTTGCACAAATTCTTCAATAAGATATCCCATGGATTGAATGAGTTTGGGGGAAAATTACCGAACGGTAAGTTGCTGAGTCATAAATAAGGGTTCATTTTGGCAATTTGGTGTAGGGACATTTTGAAGCTTCTGGACATTGCAACAGTAATCATTGAAGATGGTAAAATCTGTTTACTTTGAGATCTATGGAAGGAAGACTTACCTGTCAGACTTATCTGAAACTTCACTCTTTTGCTAAAGATAAACGTATGCCCAGCTACAAGCTTTGAAACTAGAGTTAGAGGGGATAAGCCGGGCATATGAAACTGGTTGGTGGACACACACTTGTGGTTCTTATCTTTACATCAGCCCAGGCATAGAAGTCTTTAATTGGACATTCTGAGATGCATCCAGTTTTAAGTGGCTTTGGAGTTTGGAAGTCCTCCTATCAACACAAATACAAAGTCTTCTTTTGGCTGCTCCTACTCCTAAACGACAGGCTCAGTATTAGAATATTCTCAGAAGAAAAAAATATGGACCTCCCCTCCTATGAATCAGAGAGTTTCAAAAGCCATTGGGAGTTCCATTCTACATGGAAATCATCATTCTCATGTGATGGGGTATTTCGGGCTTCAAGAAATGACTTCTTCAGGGGAGCTAAGCCGAGAACCCAGCAGTGCAAATCTATTTTTAAGGAATTTGCTCTGGTGAACCATCGAGCCAAGAAATAAGCATTTCCCAGTTATTAAAGCAATGGCTAGAAGCTTTTGTGTAGTTGTTTTGATCTTTTTCATTTCCTTGTTTGTTTCTTGTTTGATCTTCTATTTGTTTGCATCTTTAACTCTTTTAGTAGTATTTATAATACGTAGTGGTTTTTTACCCTACTGTTTTCTCAAAAAACAAAGATGGTCTAATTAGAGCTGCGGAAGTTTTTTTGCTGGGAGGCAAAATTGTCTGTATAATGTAGAACCTTCATGATTCTGTTTGCCGTAATGACCTTCTCACCTACAAGTGGCATCCATTCTTAGTTGCCTTGCCCTTTTAAAAGTTCATGCTGCTATGTTAGGGTGCTATTTATTATTTCATATTTCTTTGCACTCAAAAAGAAAATATGTAGAGGAAATGTTCGTATGCGTCTGATTTCACAAGAAGATATTGAGTTGTTTTTCTGATTTTCACATCTAATACAATGGCACTTTCTGTTTTCTTTCACAATAAGTCGTGATTTTGGTATACTATCTCCTGCTGTATGCTGCACAAAATTCACAGAACAGTAAAGTTGCCATTTTATCTTTTGGCTGTATATATTAAACATTGTTTTCTTGTTTTCATTTTGCCATTCAGATCGTCGATTACAAACTAGCCCTTGAAGGCCCAGTGGCTTACGTAGACCATTATGATGTTGCTGATCCCCTGTCCTGCAAAGCTGTGTTTCAGAAGCTTCCTTACAAAAAAAGATTGCAGCACCTCAATATTTATGTTATAGTTCAATGGAGGGAATTAATTCATATTGGCCCTTCCTTGAGTATTGCTTCTTATATTAATTATAGGGCCAGGTTGTTTCACCTGCTGAAGTTGTCCCACATATTTCCTGTGAACAGCAACGTGAGTCGTTTTTCATATGTCAATAATCTTGAGATTTTTAGCATAATCATGCTCCTAAATAGTGTCTGTGTTTTCTATTTGCCATTTCAGATTCAATGTCAAAACATGTCAGGGTCCCTGTATGCTGAAGCTGTAATACTTCCATACGTTTTGAAGTTTATTGGGCAAGGTGAATTTCTTGAGGATGCTGAGGGCTTTATAATGTCACACTCTACTTTACTAGGTAATTCTGGAGCCTCTGTGGCAAAATCATGTAGTATTCCATGTTCGCTAAGCTTTGGCAGCACCGATCTTTGTGGTACTCTGGTGTCTACCTATTCCTCTGGATCAGAAGGTACTGTTCTAAATGAACCTATTGTACAAAGAAGAGAATACTCATCAAGGATTTTGTTGGAGTTCAAGGCGGGAAGTTTTATGAAATATCAGGTATAGTTTTGATGAAGAAGCCTATTTTCTCATTATTTCATTGCCACCTCCACATTTAGCTGTGTTTCTATAGCTAGTATCTCTAAATTCTACATAACCACATCAATATGCAGTTACCGCGAATAAATGGTTCCTATATTCTCCAATGTCCCAGTGGAAGTTCTACTTGCACCATGGGAAGTTGTGGATGTGTGCGAGGTGGTAAAGTCTCGATAGATTCTCAAGATAGTCTTTGGAGCTTTGCCGTTACCATTGATGGTAATATAAACATCAAGGGGCCAATTGGGGATCAATCTATTGGAGGTACTTCAGTGAAGATGGATGAGCTATTTTCCAGAAATAACATCCACGATGAGCTAAGATTAATTCAGCCTTGGAATGACTTTTACCATAATTCTTATTTCCATTTGGATTTTTCTTGTGAGGCAATAAGTAAAAAGATGGAAGAATATAACACCGTATGTCATGTATTAAATGGGCTGTGTGCTTCCTCCAGTGAAGTTTTAAGTGTGTCATCATGTGTTGATATTATGATGCCTAAAGATGCTTCTGTGTCTGCTAACTTCAAAACTAAAGAAGAGGCTCATGGAGATTTATTAATATCGGTACAGGGAAAAGTAGAAAATATACATTCACTTGTCTGTAAGTGGGAAAGATGCGTTCCTGGTAATGAGAAGTACAGTCTATGTATCCATATTGCTGATAATAATCATGCGGTAAATAACCAGGTTACATTTTTTTATTAAGTGCGTAGTTGTTAGTTTGATATTCCATTTCATGGCAATCCTTTGCAGGTATATATTCGTGGATACTCAAACAAACATTCTACTGTTGGCATAGGACCAGGGGCAACAGTGACATTCCATCGCGTCTGTTTGAAACAGTTTGCTCCTTCCCTTTCTTCTGATTTTCTTTAATTGTTTCTTCCATTGTTTTGTTAGGATCCTTGCAGCAAAAGACCCCTATTTACCCATATGCAGCATTGTAGCTTTTACCTTGATCTGACTAGGAACCTGATGTCGACCCTTGCTTTGTAAAAAATGGTAGTTTGGTGGTACACGGAATAGAACGAGTTGAGCGAACTGACTAGCTAATCAATAGTTATATCTTTATTTGTAGAAGTAAATTATGCAGCTTGAGTGAGTGAGTACTAGTGAGCCCCGCTTACATGTTATACTCCACATGGATAAACATGTCAATCAACTTAGTTGCATCCTAATTTTTATGAGTCTACTTTTGTCAATCCTTACACAGTAACTCACCGTACTAATTCCTTGGGATCACACATTCTTTTTACATAATATCAGGTTTAATGTTTAAAGCTGAACTTCAGGGTACATTTTACTTCTAAATAGGCAATTGCATTCTCTATTTGCTTGTTTCTTATATTCTCTGTTTTCTGGCTCCAGGCATAGATTATTGTTAACCTCCGAGACATATATTGAGGTTAGCTCCATCAGCCATGCTAACTTTACTGAACAAAGTGTTATTTCGTCACCAAAGTCTAATTGGTTAAAAGATGGTTCACTTAGCACAGCTTCACCGTGCTTGTTCTTTCATCAGAAGTATTTTACAGACAGTAGACCCATGCAATTTCACTGCAGGGTAGGTTGCTTTCTGCTCAAAGTTCACTCTACATGTTACTGATGTACTACATTTGAATCTTTCAGGGTCCTGTTGGTCAGATGTATTCTTTGGTTGCTAGCTCAATTTTATCTTTTGCTTTACTCATTTTGAAGTTATCATCTGATGTCATCATCTTTCTTCCAGGTAGCAACTGTCCTTGTGCTGGTATTGAACAAATCGACTAATCATGGTGAAACTCCAAACGTAAAAGTTCGGCTAGCTGGTTTTATTCTTGGTAAGATATGCAGTATTTTTTCTGTTTAAGCTACAGAATAGTATACATCATACCCAAATTCGAAATAGCTCCAATGATTCACAGGGATGTTTTACAGTTTGCATAGTGCACATGTATTTATTAATCATGTTATATTACCTATGCTTTTTGCAGATGATGGATCATCCCTGTGCTGTGGCTGGGCTGATGGTGCTAGGGCAGAATTATTGCTTAGACTGCAGGAAATTTCACATCTGGATGCTTCTGTTAATTTAAAGCTTTCAAAAGGAGGAAATAGCACAAACTTACAATATACTATTGGATGCTGCCTTGAAAAAATGTTGAAGAAGCACACAAGCGTTACCGTAAAGAACTGTGGAATTCCTCCTGATTTCTCTTGCCGAGATTTGGATGCATCTTCTGTTTCGGACAAAGTCTTAAGTCGCTTGGAAGACAAACTTCTGAAATTTATTGTCCTTAATGCTTGTTGGAAGGGATCTCTGGTGAGTTCATCTATACATTGGTTGTCAAAGCATGTTTGAGTTTGGATCAATTATCTAGCACATATATCATTGGAGCTAATAAAATATTTTTATATTAATACCGTACGGTTATATTAGATAGAAAACTATACATTATTCTACCAGCCTTTGAATTGTTCTGTAACAAAATATTTGCTATTTGTGTCATTAGTCAGGTGATTTGTAGTTCATTTCTATGATTTGATTTGTCTCATGAGATATACACCTAATTTTCTTTTTCTTTATGTGTTTTCTAGTTTCATAATGACTAGAAAATTGCTGCATTGGTTGGTCAGGCCTTATGCTTATCAGTAATATACTTGAATTTTCTTAAATGTATGCTATTTGATGAACTCCATATTTTTGCAGAATGTTATCACATCAGCTCTAAACCCAGATGATATAAATGGGTTCAATGTGGAGCTCCCTGTTCCAGTACAGAACATGCGGATGCTTTGGATAGAAGAAGTTTTCCCAGTAGATCCTTTGGAAGAAGCTCGCAGACTTTGTGATATTTTGGAACACAGCTAGTGTTGTTCAGCAAGCACTGCACATTCTGGATGATTTAGTACGCAGTATCCAAAAAAGGATGGATTGTCCAGATCGTACGGCCACTTTTCTGAGAATTTTGCAGACAGAAAACGTGTTTCACACTTTCACCATGATACTGTCGTGCTTACAAGGGGACAAACGGAGCTTTCTAATTGGAGGGTGCTGCATCATCATTTTAAGCACTTCAGCATTAAGTGCTCTTGGAACGGGCGATTCTTTTCTTCTAGTCTGCGGGCAATAATTCAAATGTGAATATGCTTTCAGGGTTATACCGAAGTCATGTAAAAAATTCACGATGAGCCTTCACTGAGATTGTTTTTAGTTGTTAATGGTGGCCAATGTGAAGTCAATATAGAAATTTCTAAAGTGTAGGGGCATAATTTTTTGTTGTATTTATGTACTTATGCCCTTTGAGGCTGTGATTTGTAATGGCAGCTTCAGCACCTTACAAGTTACAATCTGAGATTCATGTGTGCACTTTGCTCTCAAGTCTCAATGAGATAAAAAAATAGCAAGTTCCTGCCTGATTTATACTTTGTACAAAGTTTAAGAATTTTGAAATGACAGCTTGTGTGGCAGACTACAAATTTATGATCTAACGATATTTATTATGCATTATAAATATAGTAAATTTTATGTATATTTGGTCAAATTTAGACGGATTGATTCATTGAAAAATGAGATTTATGTTCTTTCTGGGATGGAGGGAGTATCATACAAGCAAGCTATAACATGACGTCTAGAAACAGCAAAAAGCTTGAGAACTTGCCAAAAGTGGAGACTGATCTCTGGGTGCTCAATCGCTCCTCTGTTGAAGTTGATCCCAGATTGTTCCTCCACATTTTGCAACGTGTAAGAAATATTGATGGTGAACGAGTTTGCAACGTGTAAGAAATATACTGACAGTGAACGAGCGAAATATACTGACCGGCGAGCGATATATCCTTTTGATGTTGATGCTTATTTGCAACGTGTATACAGACAAAAATTTGGCTGTTCGGTCTCTCTGCTATCGATGTACCTTTTGATGTTGATGCTGATTTGCTGAACGAGCGGGCCTTTCGCCCTTTTGTATCCAGCGTTCCAAGCTCCCAAAAGCAACACAATGTAAATATTCTTATGTCCCAACGTTAAATTTGGCTAATAGATCATGCTTCCTGTCTCCTACCCTACCACCATCTTCTGAGGGTGTCAAGGTCAGTTGTAGAGTTTGGACACACACCATAGTGACTGAACTATCACATATGACAATCTCAGAATTGCGAGGACCACAAAAGCACACAGCACACTTTTGTATCTATGGTACAGTTAGTAGACTATCACGACCAATTTGCCTCAGCTATATATCATGTAATCGATATTATCACATTTCAGATTTAGGTCAGCAAGAATTGCAAGATGGTCACCTCAGCTGCTGGTTGCCAGACAACAGAATGCGCTTGTACAAACATGTAGCAATTGATGCATAACCTAATCAACAAACAAATTATTTATTTTCAAGCCTGCCGACCAGACCAACAACGATTTCTTGTTAGCCAAAATGATGTCAAAAGGGGCGAACAGCAGGGTCCAGGTGAAATTTCAGCGTATACAAGACATTCCTCCATACACCAAAAAAATAGGCAATATTCATGGAAGATCATGGGCTTGACCCTTTCTTGAACAGCTTGATTTCATCACCGTAGTAGTAAGCACTACCAATCATCAGAGCAACTGTAGCGCCTTGAGCAACTACACGTGCCCTCATTAGTTTCTGACCCAGCTGAGAGTTCCCATATCGGAAACTGATCAGACCAGCAGTCAGAACTCCAACAGTAACCAGTGCACCTGAAAAAGATGTGAAACATTATAAGAATTTAATGGTCAAGTGATTAAGCTCAAGGCATCCAATCCAAACATTACTAATAAATTAAAATTTTATCAGCAAGTGCCAAGTCAAGTTTCCATCTGCTTCATCACAGAATGACAGAAAGTTTCATTGGTAACTATAAAGTAAAACTGTCACACACACGCACACGCACACGCACAAAAAAAAAAGGTTGGCAGATCCTGTAAGGGCATCATCAAATTCAACTCTTGAAGTGTTGCACATGGGGGTGCCACATGTCCTGACTCGAATATCCATTCTTTATGCTACAAACTCAGGCATCACCGCAGTATGTCCCCTAAACGGCTAAACCAGATGAAAGTTCCTCGTTCCCATCTCAGATGGCTACAGGTTACCCTGAGCTGACCCAGCTACCTCATTTTTGTTTCCATCAAACAGTCTATTGGTCAAACAATAGCTAGGATTCTCATACACCCAACCAATTCCACTAGCCACCAGAGCCACACGTTCGCCTCTCTTGCTGTCATAACACCCCCCCCCCCCACACACACACACACACACACACCCAAGCATGCGCGCACGGTTCTCTCTTCTTTCCTCAAGCTACCTTTAGTTTCGACTGCTCTGGAAACTCATTGAGTAACCTCCAAAGTAGGCATTCGTTATAAGATGAAGAAAATCTGGCTGGCAATAAATCTATACCTAATATTAAAAGGAGAAAAATTCTTCCTCCAAGGTCCATCACACTCTCTCCCAGTTTGTCTGTCCCTCCACTCCCCCGAGCATAAAAGTCCTGGCCGGTTTTACTAATAGTAGTAGAGTAGTGCGTGATGAATTAGGGATAAGAGTCTAATTGGTCAAACTGTACGTTCCGTTGCTCGGACATGTTCGCTTGTATTATATAAAAGAATAAAGTTCAATTAACCAATAACAGCACCAGGCATCTTCAAATTAGTCACTAATTTGGAACTAGTCAACTAACTTGATTCCACCAAAGCATATATTAGATAACCATAACGTGCATCAAGAGTAAGAAATATTGATTGTCCTAGCATGCACACATAAGCAAGTCAGCTATTATCATTCATTCATAGAGGTACATGAAAATGGATGTAAATGTGCTTACGAATAACCATCCATAGAAACCTAGGTCTATTCCACAGTTTGTCTACCACTATCATCAACAAAGCAATCCTTTATGGCCATGTTTTACAAGGTCAATCCCTATGCACTATTTGATTATTGATAAGGCATACAAAACAGGGGCATAAAAATTCATGCAAGGCAAATTGCTACATGGTACCACCTCAAATTTCGTTTTCTCCTGCTCAGCCCACATAGTGCAGTTACTGATCAATGCAAATAAGAATGCACGCTACGCAAAAGAAGTAAAACGAATAGACAAATTACAGCACAGCCTATATGGATTATGTATGTAGCAGTAGCAAATCAAACAACAAATATCCAATTTCATGCCAGTTGTCACAACTTAACCCCTTCAGTAGCGGCTCCATCAATCTAGTGCCGCCATAAACAATCAAAAACAGAAAAAACACGGTCCTCCTCATAGGAAACAACAGAGCCAGATCCCCCACCCCACCCTACCAATCCAAAACCTGAACCCCGCACGAATTACATCCCACGGCCCTGGATCCGGGGCAGGTACTCTCCCGGTCCTCAGTGCGAAAAGGGACTAGCTAGGGCCGCTGGCTTCAACGAAAGAGAGAGAGGCCGGAGGCGCGTACGTACATACCGATGGGCACAAAGGGGTTCTTGACGGGCTTCTTCCCCTCCAGCTGGAAGTCTTCCATGTGGAGCGGCGGCGGCGGAGCGCTGCCTCCACTGCTCTTCTCCATTCGCGTCGCCGGGGTGGAGGAGAAACAAAAAAAAAAAAGAGGCGCCTTTTGCAACAGCGGCGGCGCTGCGTTTCGGGTTTGCAGCAGGAGCCTTGCTGCCGCCGCTCTTCAGCTAGTGAGGAGAGGGCGTGCACTCCGTTGGATTGAGATCCGAGGGCGGAGGGATGTTGGGGTTAGTGGGGTGAGCCAATGGTCTGCTTGTGGTGTCGAACTTGCCAACCGGGCCTCAGCGATCTTCTCCATCGTCGATCGTCACCTTCTGGAATGCGTATTATTGGTGGTCAGTGTTTAAATTCTTTTTAATTTGTACCCAAATTAACCAAGTTGACACTCTTAGGCCATTGGAAAATTTAATGACGATGAAACTCAATGAAACACACACTCTCAATGTAAAGTTTTATTGTATAGTTTCACAGACATTTAATTTCATGACTTGATGGTTGGTAATCGTGCCAAGAGAGTTTTATCTATATGAAACTCATTTCTTCTCTCTTTTCTTAAATACGTTATCATGTCATAAAAAATACCTATGTAGCAACCTATTTATTGTAAATAAAACTTACATAAAACTCCCATTAAGACTAGCCTTAGGGCATGTCTCTAGATATACATGTAGTACTAGTTGGAGCTAAAAAATAATTAAAATTAGGGTATGTGTGATACAAGAGCTAATTGCTAGCTAGCTAAAATTAGCTCTACTGCATTCAAACATGGGGCTAATATGTGAGCTAAATTTTTAGCCAAGTCTTTAATTAGTTGTTAGCCAACTAGCCAATCAACCTTAGCTAATTTTTAGCCTAACTAGCAACTAGCTCTAGCTCATCCAAATAGGTCATTAGAGCATCTCAAGAGTTCCAAAACACTCTCCTAATACATGACTTCTAGCAAAATTAAAAAAACAGCTCTCCAATAGTTCCTAAACCCACCTTCTGATCTTTTAGCACTTCCAAAACCGAACCCCCAACGCGCAAAGTTACGCGCTATTGCGTGTCCGCGTATCCTCCCTCACGCGACTGCACCCGTTGCACGGGGCTCATCCAGTCGGAGGTGCTCCTCATCTGCTTCGCCGCATCCGTTCGCTCCATCGGAGACGCCCCTCGAGGGAGGCGTGAGGCGTGGGAGCTCTCCTGTCCGCTCCCCGCCCTGGCTCGGTCAGAGGACGGATGTGCGCACGAGGTCATGGGAGATCGAACGGAGGCGTGCGAGCCTGAGAAGAAGAAGGGGTGGAAAAGAAAAAGAAGGAAAGGTAGGGTTTCAGGTGAGAAAAGCGCAAGAGAGAAAGATCAGGGTTCCTGATGCAAAACTTTTGAGATAAAAATATTAGAAACTATTGGAGATGGCCTTCTTTATTCCTCATAATACTTTATTTAGGAGTTGTAAAACTTTATGTTTTTAGGATAAAAATATTGGGTACTCTTAGAGATGCTCTAAGTTGTGGTCTAGTTGAAGAGTTAGCTAAAAAATCAGTCACATTAGATGTGCTCTAGCTAATGTGGTTGATTCTTAGCTAGCTAGAAATTAGTCCGGTATCAAACAAGCCTTTATATTATGTCTGTTTGTTCGATATCTCAATAGATGGTGTTTAATCTGATTAATTCTTCATTTTTTTCTGGAGAGCGGCTAACATTAAAGCATAACTTTGTAGAGGGGACAACTGCACGCGAATTCAGATGTCATGGTACAACATTACAACTGACGTTGTATATTTTCCAAGTCAAAGGTTCATAATAGTGCAGAAAAGTTGCTTCGTGAATCTCGTGATCTGCCGACTTGATCCTTCGGAGGTGCTTATAGGGGTAGGGTTTGCGTCGTGTGTTCATATGGGGTGAGTGTGCATGCGTATTATGGACGTTTACGTTGTACTGTGTAACTCTAAAGAAAAAACAACACGCAACAAATTTAAAAACCGTTGATCAATTTTTATTGAGGTACATATTGCACCAACCAAATAATATCATTCTAATCATCAACCCGAGCTCCTATAACGGCTAACAATTTTGAGGCGCATGAGTATAAGAAATCTGTGAATAAATATGGTTCCATAGTTAATGATTTTTTATATTTAATCATTGTCAATTATTTATTTATTTTCTAACATGTACAATACCCCCTAATATTTATGCAACTGTGATAGATTTTGATTACATATTACTATATGTCTTTTTTCACAATTGTTACATTAATAGGCTTAGCACTCCTTGCTTGTATGTATATGTGCAATGCATAACACACATCATGGATGTATACTTTGACGTAGTTTTTTTTTCCATATACTGTATTTATAAGGAAGTTGCTATGTTTCGGTCGCTTGAATTTTCAGGCATCAATCTTAAACTATCAACTTGTACAACTAAAAGATATTTTTTTATAATCAAACAATGAAAAAATTACATTGTTGTGTATACCACAACAAAAAATCAAGCACCTGAAAATATAGGAGAAATATATTTATAATAGTAGAAGTGCCACTAAAAACACAAAAGTTGGTAATTTGGAATCATGTATGTATGGGTATTTTAGTTTTTTTTATAATGATAGAGGTGAGAATTTAGATAATCATTTTTTGTAATAGTAAATGTGGGTAATTTAGATGGAAAGTCGGAGGTATGTGAAATGCCTAGTTGTAGTATTGAGTGTGTAAGACCGGATGCTGTTCATGTGCTTCCATTTGGTCAGTAGTCAAGCTTAAAAAAAAAAAACTTGGTCAGTAGTCAGTAGGTACCCTGCTCATGAAATACCGGAGTCCACAGTGATAAACACTCAACAACGTTCTGCGGACCTAAATGTTCACCAACTAGATATTTTAATATAATAACCAATAAATAATTCATAAGTCCAATCTGATGACGAAGGCCAGATCTAATGCTTTTGAATTCTGGGCACACGAACGTCCACATTGTGCATGCGTAATTAATGTAGCGACTCCTGTTAACAACAGATCCCCCCCTCCCCTCATAGGCTCATACTACGACCTTAACGAGTGGCGAGTTTGGTCATTTGTTCGACCTACACCCAGAAGGCAGAAGCAACCACCTCACCTACAACTTCACCGCCCCGGCCTGCAACTGCAACCTCGAACTAACCCGTCGCCATCACAAAACTTCAGAGTTCAGAGGACTGATCTCCAACCAAAGAAACGCTTGCGAAACAAACTTACCCCACTAAAGACGACTGATCGTCCGTTTCACTTCACCGCGTCGAAATCAGCCTGGATTTGGATGATCCCATCAACCGCTCGCTCGCCTCTCTCCCGTTGCAACACTGATCAGATCATTATCTACAGATCTTGCGACGATGTTGACCCTATCACAGTATATTCTTCTGATTACTTACCCTTGAAGCTGTAGGTATATGGTTCGCGGTTTCATTTGGAATGTCGTGGACAGATTGAAAACCAAAGAAGAGATCGACCACCTGGATTAATTGCGGGGTTGGTTCGGCACAAAAGAAATTCATCACTACTGGAGCTTGACAGCTTCCTGATAACGGCTACATTGCAACCACCGCCACCGCTCCTTCCACCTCTTCCTCATTCCTTGTCGCTGTCACCGCGTCCATTTGTCCCTCCAGACGTCCCCGTCGCCACGCACCATTTCGCCAGAATTTGTGCCCAAAAACCTATCCCACAGCACCAACCAAACAGGCTTCATCTCCCTCCCACTTGTCATTCAAACTCGATGCATTTCCGCTTCTCGCAAAGCTACAAGCTTGTTAATTTGCTGCAACTGCAATAACCTGTCGTCTGTTTGGGCATTTCTTGGCCCCAAAGCAGGCTCCATGTCCATCCATCTATCCATGCCTTGCTAGTTGCTAGTTGCCAATGCCTTGGTCGCCCACGCCTGCTCGCTTCGCGTTGTCCTCCCTTTACTTCTTGGCCAACGCCACTTAGGTGGCGCGTCTCGTCGTCGTCCTTGCCTCCCAAGAGACCGTCCCCTTCTTTACCCTTGATCCTTCCTCGCTCGCTGCCTGCACGCCTGTGCTGTACTGCACCTCCGTGCGCTCCTGTACGTCCTCTCTCACCATTCATCCATGATCCATCCTTGCTTGTGACCCTGTCCATCCACTGTTCACATCAGATTCTCCGTGGCTTCTCTCAATCAGATCAGGTCAGCCTTCTGATCTTTGCATGTTCATCCTGTGTTTGTTTTTATCTCCAACTGAATCGCCAACTGGATCCTGTGCCGTGATACTTGCAGTGGTAGCCATATTTCCAGTTCCTCCAGGACATGTGCTTTTCTCATAAAGTGTACTAGTCCTCTGTGCGTGCAAACGGCCAGAGCAAGGAATATATCTCGGTTGTTCATCACGGGAAGGTATCCTGGAAGAAGAAGAAGAACTGGATAGATGCATCGTCAGAAAGTGTGACGAAACACGAAAGGTTGCTTGGCGTCCGTAGTTCCATCATTAGCCTTCAGCTCAAATGGAGCTAGGAGGCTTTAAGATGTTCAACATAGTTTCATCGTGGAACAAGAGGCGGAGAAGCAGATCACTTGATCAGTTAAATCCCTGTGAGTAGTACAACTCTTCTTTTTCTCTCGTTTAATCGAATTAATTAGTCCTTCTGAATTTCCTATCGTTTCTCTTATGATGCTATGAGTTAGCATTAGCAAGCAAAGCATGCAGGAATATAATCATTTTTTTTTTCGAAAGATCGGAATATAATAATTTCACTTGACTACTAGTTGATGCCCTGCCCTGTGCCCTACATGGAATTCTGATGATCTGAACGGACCTCCTCTGCACTCTGCAGGGGTGTACAAGCCGGCCGAGCTATGGCAGGCGAAGGAGCATCAGCCGCCGCCCAAGAAACGCAGCTGCACGGTGGTGTTCACGCTCAAGGAGATGGAGGAGGCCACCAACATGTTCAGCGAACGCAACCTCGTCGGCAAGGGCGGCTTCGGCCGGGTTTACAGAGGCGTCCTCAAGGATGGCCAGGTGCTTGCTTGCTTGCTTTTCACCAATCCTTCTCTCTCTCTCTCTCTTTTTTTTTTTTGTCGGCGCAGGCTTATTCTCAGACGCACGCTAACGTACTTGTTTGGTTAAGCTCCGGTGTTGATGTCAATGTGTCCTTTAGAACTGTACTAGCTTTGATGAGAAGCATTTCAAATAATTGAGTTTTTGTCCAATGATTCATGCTTGGAAGAGAAGCTCTTTCTTGTTGTTGCATTGCATGTATTTGTTGGCATATCATTAAATTTTGTAGGCGATAGATAGTCAGCTGACCTGGATGTGATACGTCAGCAGATAGCGAAGATCAGACTATCAGAGTGGTGTGACATTTCGTCTTAACATCCACTTATGAAGAAAACAATGTGGCAACCACCGGTCAAATTGTGTCACTCATCATTTGATTCTTCTCGAGACAAAACTTGAAACTGAAGTTCTGAGCATATGACCAACAAACAATATACCAGTTTTGAGATCGTCTTAGCTCACTAGTTTCAGTAATTCATCAATTACATGCATGGTTCAGAAGTTGCATCTGACGACCGTATATGATTGAACTCTGCTGTGCTGAACGTGAAGATCGTTGCCATCAAGAAGATGGACCTGCCCACTTCGAAGCAGGCCGACGGCGAGCGCGAGTTCCGGGTGGAGATCGACATCCTGAGCAGGCTAGACCACCCCAACCTGGTCACGCTCATCGGCTACTGCGCCGACGGCAAGCACCGGTTCGTCGTCTACGAGTTCATGCCCAGAGGCAACCTCCAGGACATCCTCAATGGTATGGTGACACCACAGTATTCACTATTCAGAGGTGGCAGGATGATGTTCAGAGGTGACACTCTGAGTCTGACATTCTTTTTCTTCATTCATCAGGCATTGGGGAGGTGAGGATGGACTGGCCACTGCGCCTGCGGATCGCGCTGGGCGCGGCGCGGGCGCTGGCCTACCTGCACTCCAGCACGGCCGTCGGCGTCCCCGTCGTCCACAGGGACTTCAAGTCCAGCAACATCCTCCTCACCGAGCACTACGAGGCAAAGGTAGCAGTTCCGGCCACGGCAATCTCTGCTCTGCTCTGCTGCTCAAACGGAAGCATGAAAACTCACCACCTCTGCTCTGCATTTCACTGCACGCCGGCCGGCCGGATCCAGATCTCGGACTTCGGGCTTGCCAAGCTACTGCAGCAGGACCAGGACCTGCACACCACCACCAGGGTGCTGGGCACGTTCGGCTACTTCGACCCCGAATACGCGCTGGTATGGTCTCGATCATGAATCAAGAATGATCCTTCGCATTGAGCTCAGCTCATCAGGTTCCTGCATGCCATTGCCATGCCACTGCAAAATCAGAGTTTAGTTTGTTTCCAGACAGGGAAGCTGACGCTGCAGAGCGACGTGTACGCGTTCGGCGTGGTGCTGCTGGAACTGCTGACGGGGCGACGAGCCATCGACCTGAGCCAGGGCCCGCAGGAGCAGAACCTCATCGTGGGCATCCACCAGGTGGTGGGCGACCGCAAGAAGCTGCGCAAGGTGGTGGACCGGGACATGCCCAAGGGCTCCTACACGGTGGAGTCCGTGTCCATGTTCGCCGCGCTCGCCGCGCGCTGCGTCTGCTTCGACAGCGCCGGCCGCCCCGCCATGCAGGACTGCGTCAAGGAGCTCCAGTTCATCATGTACGCCAACATGAAGATATGATACGATCACTCACGACTCACTCCTCAGAGCCGGTTCGGATCTGGAGGGTGCAAACCGCGCGTGGGTTTTGACTTTTGAGACGGGGCGCATGCAGCTGCTGGATCGCAATTGCAGCAGGTCTGCAGCTTTTGTTTGGTTGATGAAACGGATTGTTAAAAGGGATGGTCTCATGATCACGATACTTGTACAGGCTTATATAGTTATTACTACTACTCTTTGCGATAGGAATGTATGTACTTTGGTCTACAAATGCGAAGTGCATTTCGTAATAAACAAAATGTGGATACCAAGCAATAAGGGCTCTGTTTGGGACCGCAAATTCCATTTGAGATTAATTAAGGAGAGATTTCAAAATCAAGAATTTCCTAGTAATGTATTTGTATTTGTGATTTGTCACCGAGCTGACTGGAGTTCACTGCTCACATTGCATAGGCATGTTTGTTGGGGCGAAGACTTCCAAAAGTTACTTTTCAAATGGTAATGCTACGCATCTTACAACGGACATGAGCAAATCGTCGGACCCTCCGGCAGGCCCACCGCCTCGTCACTTACGCTTTTACCCTACCGCTAGCTTTGCCCACGAGTTTATTAAAAAAATCACTCATCCTTATCCTTTCCTAGAGGGGGTGAATAGTCTTTTCTAAAACTTAATCGCGTCGGCTTCCTCCTCCCTAGCCAAGACTACACCCCTCTATATATGTTCACTAGCACCTTGCAAAGATACTAATAAAGCAACTAAGGTGCCGGGCTAGCTAGAGCTCTCCTAAACAATTCTAGGAGCAAGGTCACACAAACCTATGCCACTAGTACTTTAAGTAACAAGGGAGCTCCTATACATGCTAGTAAGCAAAAGCACAAACTAAGCTCACTAGCAATACTCAATAACAAGGCAACCAATGCCTAATTAGAGAGCGCAAATACTTAGCTACACAAACTAAGCAATGTGACTAACAAGGTTACTAAAACCAAATTAGCCACGCCGCTACTTCTATGCTACACAAGCATGAAGGTAATTAGCTAGCTACACAAGCTATCTAATTACAAGAGCAACTACACAAGCTTAAGATATATATAAGTAATTGCAAGCTTGTGTAATGGGGATGCTTGACACGATGCCCCTGTTTGCCAACGCTGCGTGCTTTGATGTTGGTGAGTGTGCTGCGCTCCTCCACGTCGAAGCCAATGAAGAACCTACCCCTTTGGTGAGGGTAGCTCAATGACACGCTTTACTAGAGTTGCTGGGCTGAGCACAATGCCCCTCACAAGCACTTCTCCGAGCCAAGCTTCTTCTTGGCGCTTGACGGAGACCAAGGAGGTGGCAACCTCCAGAGTAACAAGCACCACCGACTTGCAACACGATCACCTAGTGCCACTCGATGCAACCTCACGATGCAATCTTTGGAATGGCTCACTCACACAATCGGATGATCGCTATCAAGTATGTGTGTGGGAGGCTCCCAAGCACTCACAAGCATGGACACTAAGTCCCTTGAGGTGCTCAAGACCGGGCCGAGGGCCACTTCTATTTATAGCCCCAAAGGCTAAACTAGCCGTTACCCCTTCATTTGTCGCTCGGTTGGATCGCTCGGCGTCCGGTCGTGGTGCCCTCCCTTCAAACGGATCTCAACGGTCATCCGGCGATCGGACGCTTTGTGTCCGGGCCGCAGCAACCCGGTCGTTTCAAGCTCCCACCTCGACGCGATCGGACGCAGCGTGGCGTCCGGTCACTCTCCAACTTATCGATCGTCGGCATTCAGATCCAGCGTCCGGTCGGTTGACGACACCAACTCTTCCCTAACTCCCTTCTAACTTCATGTTGCAAATATATGTTTCTTTTAAATGTTTCAGAGGTATGTTGCACATGTTGCATACGTTGCAAGTGTTTTAGAGACATGTTGCTAGAGTTTGTTCAAAATGTTTCATCTTCAAACGTATGTTGCAAGCGTTTTGATCTACATGTTGCATATGTTTGACACATATGTTGCAACAGTATGTTTTAAATGTTTCATTTGTCACAGTCTTCTGTTGCGGCAAGTGTTTTCATATTGCAAGTTGCAAGTGTTCTATTTGGTTGCTGCATATGTTTTTACATATATGTTGCAAGTGTATGTTCCAGATATTTCATCTGTTTCAGACATAAGTTGCATTCAAGTGTTTCATGTTGCACATGTTTTATATTATTTTGGATGTCGTTGGGAGTGGGGAATGATGGTGGCAAGCGTTTTGATCTACATGGCGTTTGACACATATGTTGCAGGAATGGGGCGCGATATTGCAAGTTGCAAGTGTTCTATTTGACGATGGACATGGTTCCACACATAAGTTGCATTCAAGTGTTTCATTTGCACATGTTTCACGTGTTGGGGGTCGGCTGAAAGCATCTAGGCCCCTAGTTGAGTTTCGGTGATTAATGACAATACGTGATTACTGTGACTAACGTGTGTTTTGTAGAGGCAATTAAGTTAGGTCATAGTAATGGAGATCGATTGGGCAATCATGGTGGTCATGCCCCTACGATGGAAATCGTTTCGGTTTTCAAAGGATGGATGACAAGGTTAAGGATGGACTAGTTCTAAGTGTCGATTGGAATTGAAGAGACACTTAGAGTAGTTTAGGACTTTGTTTTTCCTTTGGGCGTACTATTAAAGGGGGTATGGACGGTTAGCTTGACCTAGGTGAGTCTAGTGGGTTAGGTGTGGTGCACACTTGCTAAATCTACAGCGCAGGGATACAGTAACACCAACTTGTGTTACAATAGGTTGGAAAAAGTGTCACTAGCTCTCTTAGTAACATATTTTTTGTTTTGTTCCAATTGGCCATGTTACTATAGACTGGTTTATTGTAACACATTTACTTGTCTACAGGAATATTTGTCTCGTGTTACAATAATTTTTGTAGTAACACTTTTTTTTGCTCTAGTAACATTTCACATTATTGTAGAATGCATAGTTTGTAACATATTTATTTATCTATCAGAACATTTGCCTAGTGTTACAGTGATTGTCTGCTGTAACACTTTTTTTAGTTCTAGTAACACTCACTACAAGGTTTTACCCCTGATGCATAGTCTACAGAGACGCTCCCTTCCTCAGTGGCATCATCAGAGCCGCCTACTACAGTCATACCAGCACAGTCTACAGCAGCTCCAGTCCTTGATCCGACCCAGACTGCTTCAGCATCGCTTCCAGCTACAGAGGGTCAGACTGCTCAGAGCTTAGGGTCAGATGATGATGGCACTCAGTTCCAGCTCGCTCCTCGTACCTCAGTGCCCGGCTCGTCCGCTGCAGCCCCGCCGACCGACCCTTAGGTTTTGGTGTTTGACGCCAAAGGGGGAGAGGGTTCGAGTATGTTAGTCTTAGGGGGAGCGACATATCTAGAGGGAGCTTAGTTTATCTATTACATTTGGAGTTTTATGTGTGATACACTATTATGCATTCGTGTGTTTACTTTTATGCATCCAACTATATTTATGTGATAGTGATATCTACGTGATCATGATATGTGACATATGTGCTCTCTACTTTGAATTATTTTTATGTCATATCACTTGTGCTATGCTTATTTGCTTTTGCTTCCGCGCTTTACTCCGATGCAAATGAGCTTTATTACTTGTACTCATGCTTATTTCATATCTTTTGAGTACATCATGTTGGCTTGGGTCATATAAGCTTGCCTAACACTTTTGTTCTTATTGCCAAAAGCTTATATGAACCAAGCATGTTAAAAACCTCATCTCTTTCACATACTCGAGGTGGTATTGTCATCAATCACCAAAAAGGGAGAGATTGAAAGCATCTAGGCCCCTAGTTGGGTTTCGGTGATTAATGACAATACGTGATTACTGTGACTAACGTGTGTTTTGCAGAGGCAATTAAGTTAGGTCATGGTAATGGAGATCGATTGGGCAATTATGGTGGTCATGCCCCTACGATGGAAATCGTTTCGGTTTTCAAAGGATGGACGACAAGGTTAAGGATGGACTAGTTCTAAGTGTCGATTGTAGTTGAAGAGACACTTAGAGTAGTTTAGGACTTTATTTTTCCTTTGGCCGTACTATTAAGGGGGTATGGACGGGTAGCTTGACCTAGGTGAGTCTAGTGAGTTAGGTGTAGTGCACACTTGCTAAATCTAGCACTAGGTAGCTCCAAAATAGTCCTTAGATCCATTGGAGCAAACTTCATTCACGCATGATTGAGAGTTGGAAGTGAATGGAGGGACAAATACTGACTGGACGCTAGCTTCGGTGTGACCGGATGCTGGCGCAGAGTCCGGTCAGTTCATTTGACCAAGGTGTTATCATCTGGTGCGATCGGACGCTGAGAGGTGAAGTGACCGGACGCTGAGGGCCTGTGTTCGGTTGACTCCAGTAAGGTTCCAGAGAGGGAAAATCACGACCGGACGTGTTCGGTCAGTGCTGACCGGACGCTGTCCAGCGTCCAGTCACTACTTTAACATTGGAGTTCAGGGTGAACTGACCGGAGCGTCCGATCACCACGCAGAGGCACATAACGGTTCGTTTTTCAGCCGGTGTTATAAATATCCCCTCCACTCGTGTGTGGGGGTACTTTTGCTCATTCCAACAGCTAAGAAACACCTTTGAGAGTGCTAAGAAGAGTAAGGTCCTAGTGAGGTTATTGAGATTTGAGAATTCCAAAGAGAGCCCTAATTAGTGAGATCAAGAGTAGCAAAGTGTGCATCCACCCTTCTCATTAGGCTTGTCGTGGTCAAGTGAGAGTTCGTGCTTGTTACTCTTGGTGATCGCCATCACCTAGACGGCTTCGTGGTGATTGGGAGCTTAGTGATCATCTGACGGAGCTTATGGATGACCCAACTCAAGTTGTGAGCGGTTGTGGGTGATTTACCACGATGGAGTGTCAAAGAATCAACCTGTAGAGAGCACTTGATCCTTGCGCGGATCAAGGCAGAGCTACACCCTTGTGCGGGTGCTCCAACAAGGACTAGTGGAGAGTGGCGACTCTCCGATACCTCGGCAAAACATC